GTGGTGTGATTGCCAATACGACAATTTTCCACAGGAGTCCAAACGTCGTGGAGGTAAGCAATTATAGATGACAGTATGGCTTTAATAACGAGCTAGCAATCCCCAACCCGTAAAGTCGCAATACCAGGCACACAGGCCGACATGACAAAATGTGAAGATGATTATGATGATGAATTGCTGTTTAACGTCCATCGGCAAATTGCATGCATATTCAGGACGAGGACATGTAAATGAAATAGGAATATTAACCCTGCTTTATACTAGACCGACTCTCTGAGTCGGATTTTCAAAGTGCTAGTTCACACGGTAACTGTCCGCAGGAAGACATGTCACCCTACCCGGACACAACATTATTTTGACTCCGAGCCGACCAGTCTTTTCTCTTGCTACGTAGTGCAGCGTGCTTAGCGGAAAAGAAGAAAATACCAATTTTAAAGTCTTTGGTTTGACATGGCCGGGGTTCGAACCCACGAACTGAACTCTCGCACTCGAGGTGAACACACCACCACGATACCACCGAATCAAAATATGATATAATTCAAAGGAGAAAACCATCAGCCTAAATTGTGACAAAAAAAAAAACGAAAAATAAATATGACAAGACATCAACCTACGACAATAACTAAATAACAGTCTCCTGACTTGGGTAAATATAAAAATAAAGAGATGTGATATGATTGCCAATGAGACAACTATCCACCAAAGTTCAAATGAATTGGATGTAAGCAATTATAGGCAACCATATTAAACCTATTTGTGAGCGCTCAAACCTACCCTAACTTGTGACCGTTGTGTAAAAGCACAAAATACGAACAAGCTGTATCAATTAGTTGGAAATGGTTTAAGTCATCGGCAAAAAAGAAAACCATGACCTTCTGCAATGCCAAAATATAAGTATCAACAGGATGTAGGACCATTGTGTTCATAATTGTGTGTTTCTAGGAAATTGAAAAATATTGAAATCTCGAATCCATTTTTTCTTCTTCAAATATTACAATCGTTACATTGTAAAGGAAAGACGAGTCATAAATAAGTGTCATTTTCCACGTCAGACTGCATTCATTGATTATCTTAGATACCATAAACTTCCACTGTTCGAATGTTGTCAAACAAATGAACATGGACAAAAGATTTACGCTATATTTTCACAATGCCCTTCAATTTCCTATAATCAACTTTGATGAACATGTCTCTTTAATGTTCTCGTCTTGACGAAAACACAATGAACAGTATCAACATTTGTTGAACATGTCTCTTTAATATTCTCATCTTGACGAAAACACAAAGGAACAGTATCACCAGATATCTTTGTCGTATATATTACCCCCTTTGTAGTGAAAATACAGATATCATCACTCTACTTTGTTGATATCATCCTTTTTCTTTGTTGTAAAAATGGACATGTCATTTTAACTGAAGAGCAACATATGATAAAGGATCTATTACTAATATACCGTAAAGGAATTTGCCACCATGATCGCATAAAAACCCAGAGAGCAATAGGACTAATTAATAATCAGCAAGATCATATTTAGACACACCAGACGGGTGTATTGTTTATAGACCAAATAATGGATTAAAAGATTAATGCCTTTTGTCGCGTTCATCTAGTGTAAATTACTTGATATATCGAATAAAACAAAAAGCTTTTCAACCACAATTCTTATATTCCACTACAGCTGTACAGTAATATGGCTTTTAAATTGAATTTTAACCTAATGGCCAATGCTAACTTTAATTGGGTTGTAGACTTCAAGTCGACTTAGGGTTATAAAATTTGTATAAAGGTTCAAAATCCACATTAGATGTAATGCTATATTTGGTTAGAGGTGATTGTATTTCATACTTATGTCGATTTGGGGTTATGCTGTTCAATTTGATCGAATGCAGTGCAGATATTTAATTAAACAGCATAATAGACTTCAGATGTAGATAATTCTACTCGGGCGCGGTTTGAATGATATATGAAAAAATAATAGATCGAAGACAATTCCACGACCAAAATAAATAAATTAAATGAAGTATGTGCCCTCCCCAAGCAAAAACATAGTACAAACTAATAATTAGTTTATTACAATGAGCGCGATAATAGTACTGGTGTTTTCTGAAACAGGTTCTCTCTTCTCTTGGGCTTTCTATAAAAAAGAAGATGTGGTATGATTGCAAATGAGACAACTCTCCACAAGATACCAAATGACACAGAAATTAACAACTATAGGTCACCGTACGGCCTTCAACAATGAGCAAAGCCCATACCGCACAGTCAGCTATAAAAGGCCCCGAAATGACAATGTAAAACAATTCAAACGAGAAAACTAACGGCCTAATTTATGTACAAAAAATGAACGAAAAACAAATATGTGACACATAAATAAACGACAACCACTGAATTACAGGCTCCTGGCTTGGGACAGGCACATACATACAGAATGTGGTGGGGTTAAACATATTAGCGGGATCCCAACCCTCCCCCTAACCTGGGACAGTGGTGTAACAGTACAACATACTACAAATACAAGTGGACTATCAACTAATAAAAAAAATCATGCATCAAAGACTAAATTATCAATCAGTACACATCCAACATCCAATGGATTTAGTGTAAAGACGTCATAAACAATCAGAGAAAAACATGACCTTGTGCAATGCCAAGATACAGGTATCGACTGATTGTAGATCCATGAATGTGTATATGTATATAACAATAATATTTAGTTTGCTTTTAATTTACTGATAACAAAATCAATATTAGTACCAATAAAAACAATATTTGATGATCTAATTACAGTGTTGAATTGGTAACCTGTTTGATAATCTGTTTGATTATACTAGTTCTAGACGCTCTAGTCTTTCGTAAAACAGGTTGCTTTCCAAACTTTTAGCTTTGAGTGTTTCAAATATTCGGCTTTCAGCATTCCTAATGAAGGTAAATTTAGAAAAGCGCTTCGGACGCATGAAATGTTTTGTTTTATTTTTTATAGCACTGGGTCGATACCGCTGATGGTGGACTTTGAGTCCACGAGTGTAATTACCATCAGCTTAGTAGTCAATACATCGGTACTGACATGATTAGTAACAAACTTTTCGTTAATTGTCTGTATATGAATTTAGAAATTATTACTGTGCTTATTCAGTGGGCTTTGGGGTATCTCAATATCACTAGCTAAAACAGTTTACCAAATTGCAGTTTGAATTCTTCTCCAATAAACTGGTCAACTGGTAAACTATTTTAATAAGTTGCTTGAAAGGATGTTATTATGAAGTGAGTGCAGTGAAATAAACAGGTATACCTACCATCCAGCTCCAGTTAGTTGATGTCTGATTGTCATGATACTGTCTTACTATAATATCATTTATGAGTCACTGGTTTAAAAAGGTCTAACTTTGACATGAAAACTTCTATCCTAAATAAATTTTATAAATAAATAGCTCAGAACATTGTTTTGTAGGTCAATTATCTATAGCTTTGCTTTCTAAGAAGAAGTTATTGTTTTTGTGATTTGGATAATATTTTCTATAAGAATTACTGATTTACTGGCGTTGTATATTAAAAATTTCATCAAAGATACCAGGCTTATGATTTTGCCTACAAAAGATTCATCAATACGACTCAAATAAAAAAAAATTGAAATGCCAAATTAGTACGAAGTTGAAGAGCATTGAGGACATAAAATTCCGAAAGGTTTTGCCAAATACTGCTTATAAGTAATCTAATCCTCGGTGGCAGAAAATCATTAGTACTTAGAACAATTCAAGTTTTGCAAAACAGTTAATCTATAATTTTGACCATATCAATGAAAATGCATGTCAACTCAGAATTGCTGACTACTGGACTGGTGATACCCTCTTAATTTACAGAGTAATCTGTATGATTTATAGAACTTTGAATGTGTTCCATAAAATGTTTTGAACAGTTTTTTTTTCCAAAATTTTAATCATCTTAAAAAAAAATTCAGTGTTCTTTTCAGGACAGGAGATAATAGTTAAATGATCTTGGAAATAATGTTACAAACAAATTACTTATAAAATGAAGGAAATTCATATTTGACAACAACATTTTGCTGATTTTAAAGTAATGTTAATTATTTCCCTTTAATATTAGCAGATTAGTAATTGCTTTAGAAAAAATTATCCAAATTACAATTACGCACTAACTTGCTGTTAGGAAACAGAGCTATAAATTATTGACCTACAAAACAATGTTTTGAACTATTCATTTATAAAATTTATTTAGGATAGAAGTTTTCATGTCAAAGTTGGACCTTCTTAAATTAGTGACTCATATCATAGTAACTTATTATTGTGTTCGAAATTCAGGACATAGACACCAACTAACTAGAGCTGGATGGTAAGTATAACTTTTAATTCACTGCACTCACTAAATACTAACAACCTTCACCGAAACAATTTGTTAAAATATTTTACCAGTTGATCAGTTTGTTGGAGAAGAATACAAACTGCAATGTGATAAACTGTTTTAGCCATTGCTATTGAGATACCCCAAAGCCCACTGAATAAGGACAGTAAGAAACTAAGCGTGAAGGTAAAGCGTTTGGACGCATGAAAATGGTTTCAACTCCCTCAGGAAAAGTTGATCTTAGATAGATTTGGCTATTATATGAGGTCCTTTTTGGTCAAATAGCTCTTCGACTGTTCTTATACATTCTTGGCTTTCAAATATTCGGCTTTGATCGTTCCTATGGAAGATAAATCTAGAAAAGCGCTTCGGACGCATGAAATATATAGAGTGTTTTTTCATTTTTTTAATGGTTTAAATATAGAATATTTTCAACGCTTTTAGTATTGATTTTCTCCACCTTTTCAAAATGGATATACCTTTTGAGTATTTTTCAAACGAAATCATGACATTTCATATTAAGATATAAGAAAGGTTTGGACTGGAGCAACTAGCTTTAGACATTTTTTTGTGGTTGAACGACCGTTGAAACAATTATATCACAAAGCATAGTAACTTTTCGAAGTGCAAAGTGATAATATAATTTTAAGTTTGTAAAGCCTTTTATTGTAATAAATTGTTTTCTTATCGGTTTACAAATATATAAATATAATAACTTCTGAAAATATTAGTTTTTTTGTCACAAAACATATGCTTCATTACACAACAGTAAAAAAGATACTATCATACAGTTTCACATAAATGCTGACTTTGTTTCATGTAAAAGCTATACAATACGACATTTATACAAAATATTCAACATTCATTTGATACAATCAACGCTAAACATTTATCAGCTTAAAGCAAAAATATAACATTTGAATACAGAAGTTTCAAATCTAGGGTTACGATCAAAGTCATTCACACTTTAAAACACAGGGCATATACAGTGTGAAAAATCGTCAGTTGAATATCAATTTAGAGAATTTTATACTAAAAAAAAACAAGAGAAATAAATTGATAACTTTAAGTTTTAAAAGTGTGTCATATTTTTTACCAAGAAAAAAAATCATATTTTTTTTTAAGTATAAAAACAATAACAAATCGTATTAAAAATGGTTGAAATAAAACTCCTTTCTAATTTATCATAATTTCTCTTTAACATTTAAAAACGAGTTTATAATATTAAATATCTAATTAAAACATCAGATGAAAATTAGGTATCATTTACGTGTAGTTAGAATTCCAAAAGGAATATCAAAAAGCTTAAAATTCAAATTCTCAATTCATAATGGGAAAAACTCAGAAACTTAGCTTCGCCATGAGAAAAAGAAAAATATATCTACTACAAGAATATATACTGCAAAAGGAATATCATAGATTTAAAATAACCTTGGAATTTTCCTTCTTGGTGATTTTGACACATACAAAAGCACACATATATGCTTAACGAAAATACAAATAATGATAAATTATTATATCAATAGTTACCTACAGAATCAATATATTAATAAGAAATTGGAATATTCAGTGTTAACATTTTTAATTAATAACATCCTAAATGAATTGCATTTATATCCAAACCCAGAGATTTTTATTCGAATTGGCCCTGAAGAATCGGCAGACGTCATTAAATTAAAAATGGAATCACAAGACACATTGCTTTAGAATGTTTGTTTGTTTAACCCCGAATTCAGAGCCTTCGTTTTCATTTTCTTTTTCTATTCAAGACTTTTATACTAAATAAAAATGTATATATATATATATATATATGATAGCTTGAAATAATCATATTTTGTTTAGTCAATTATACATCGACTTAAAAATACATATTCTCTTGTAATTTTACGATGCCATGTCACTTGAAGTAATATATCTTTTTTCCCAAATAACCATATACGCCAATAAAATAAAATGTTTAATGGAAAAATAGAATAGAAATGGTCCCCTTGAAATGGAACTTTATGCCATGTGAAATTTTTGTGTTGTTGGATAGCTGTCTCAAAATATTCATACAAAATATAGATAAAACTCTTTTACATAATTTGTTTTCCGTTTCGAGGGTATTGTTTTATAATTTTGTATATATACAGTACGTAGATATTAAGAAATACATATAAAGTAATGAATCATGCTATTTATGAAAATTATAAATGTCAAAAATAGCATTTTGGACATTATTCATTTATTTACTCATACATGAAAAATGCAACACATACAATAACATATAATGAGAAAACATGATTTGTTTAATTTATTAATATGCGAGTACACAATTTAAAGGTGGTCATCTGTTTTAACATTTTTCCTGATTTATTTAAATGATATTGACTACAGTACATACAAAAACCATCTGATTTTCGAGAAAAAAATCGAAATGTTTGGTGAATTTTGTTGTTTATTTACAAATATATCAAGTCTTTGGTAACAATGAAAGACAAAGCAGAACAAAACAATTTGATTGTAACATCACATAAAAGTACAACTCTGGATAAATTGTAACGATATTTTCAAAATTATGAAAATACCAACGATTCTCACAAAATACTATGAAGTTTACAGTTTGTAATCCTAGCGTAGTATCCTGAATAATGAAGATCACAATTCATACCATTGTTTTCAAATGAAATCTCAGGTACAAATAAACTCGGATTTACTTCAAGCTGAAAAACAATAAAAAAAAACATGTATTATCAGATCGTCTGAAACATTTAATTATATGTTTGTAAACTTTAGATTCATTAGATTGATTGCCAAATACAAAAATCATGGATTAAATCGACCAGTTCCTGTAAAATATTACATAAATTCGAAAAATATTTCAGAACTCTTGAAAATAAAATGGCAAAAAGATCGTCTGAAACATTTAATTATATGTTTGTAAACTTAGGTTTCATTAGATTGATTTCCAAATACAAAAATCATGGATTAAATCGACCAGTTCCTGTGAAAAATATTTCAGAACTCTTGAAAATAAAAAGGCAAAAATATTCTTCGAAAAACGACGAAATAAAATATGTACTAAACTTTAAAGTTAGAAGTTCGACTTGTCTTCACTCTGTTCAAAGATCTTTTAATACAATAGAACATAAATATCTTTCACATTTTTTATCTAGATTTTAATAATTAAAAAACCAATATAAAGAAACGTAGTTATATTGATAGCTGACTAAGCTAATTAAAAATCATAAAAGAAAAAAAAACACGAAATTATCTTTCGATCTCATTGCGTAATTGTTAGAGAGTAAAATAAGAAGAATACATTATCTTAAAAAAGTGCACGGATCAAAGTGACTACAAAGCTGTGTGCAGATCAAGATTGTTTTTTTATCCCTGACCCGAAGACCTATATATGGGTTTTAGACGACAGGAGATAGTGCCCACAAAACAAAATTTAAATGAAAATGATCGTTACGTGCAAGATCATTTCGATTATAAAATACGCTTCCATTATTGAGATTGAATTTGAAACCGTTTGACTTATTGCATGACTTTGTCATACCGTATATCTCTTTTACAGAATATTATATTTTATTTTAAATGATATAGGTCACGTTATGCTCATAATAGTCTCTCCCTTTTCTAGTGCGAAGTACAACCCAAATTATAATACTATTTGGGTCATTTATAATATCAGCAATTAGGTGAATGACAGTAATTTACAAAGCGGGAAATTAAATAAAGCCAGTGATTTGAAATATATAAATATTTGAACATATCTTTTAATGTTCTCTAATGTATGCAATACTGCTACTGAAAGGGCAAGAACTACAAACTATATCTTTAAGAAAAAAAGCCGAACCCAAAGTTCCTGATTGGGTTTCATACCTGATTTATGATTTTTTTTAAATTTTTTTACACTTTTGTGCAATTTAAATGCAGCAAAATTATCAAAAAGAATTAAAACAACATTTGTCTAAGTCATCTCTAAAATTGTGTAGTATTTGTTGATTTTTCGTGATATCTCTGACTTGCTATAAGTATTAGTTACATTACAATTTACCGTTTTTATATAGATTAGACCGTTGGTTTTTCCGTTTGAATGGTTTTACACTAGTAATTTTTTGGGGCCCTTTATAGCTTGCTGTTCGGTGTGAGCCAATGCTCCGTGTTGAAGGCCGTACCTTGACCTATAATGGTTTACTTTTATAAATTGTAACTTGGATGGAGAGTTGTCTCATTGGCATTGTAAGGTAAATAAAGATATCTTGGTAATTCAATTCAAACACGTATATAAAAAGAAGAAGATGTGGTATGATTCCCAATGCCCGGGCTTCCAATGATACAACTATACTTTAGAGACTGACCACATGACGTGGATGTAAGCAACTATGTGTATCAATTAGTCATATAAATGCCGTGTCCAAGTTTCCAGACTTAAGTACTTACCTTAAATTTATAATTTCCTGGTTTCATATCAGTTATGTCTATCCATTGACAGTCTATATCAGCCATATAATTATCTGAGCACCCTACTGATATACCTACAAAACAAACAATTGTATCACAGATGGAGTGGTTGAGTGTTGCTTGCTTAATGTCCAGTGGCAATTATTTTATACATATTCAGGACAAGAAGATAAAGGTAGATCTAAAGGTGGAACGACAGGGATGAAGTGCGGGAAATTTAGACTGCCACTGAAAAGAATGGTACGTTAAATAGAGGAAGACATTTTGCCTTGCAGTAGGCCACCTACGGACCCTTTAAAGACCTGTTGCCTGTTGTAATGGTTCTTTGTATGTTTGTTACTACATGATTCTTTGTTTGTTTGAATACGATATTGACACAAAATCCCATAATTTCCCTACATCAAAATATCTTGAATTTATACGGATATTTTAAAGTACACGTATTCACGTTTGCATGTTAATAACTTTCCATATTATTCCTCATCTTTCATTAAAACTTTGCTAGATTTTTTTTTTGGGTTAATCTAGAAAAGCGCTTCCAACTCATCAAATATAGCATACATAATATGAGCGTTTGCCAGATTTCATTTCACGTGTTTTCGTGTTAAATGGTCAATTTTCGCCGTGCTTCATGTAATTGGAAAAATACACCGTTCACCTCTTTATTGTTTTTCAGATAATCTTGAAATGACAATGAACTGTTATGAAGTTACTCCTGCTTAACAATTCTTTGCAATTCATTTATTGACACCGTGACCATATTGCTACTATTGTTGTTAGTCCCTTAGGAACATATTATCATACTATCCTTGCATCGGATTTTACATTGCTGTCGTCATCGGAAAACATAATATCTTAATATACAAACTGTTCATACTAAAATGACATCTGACGTGTTACAACTATGAAACAATTACCTTGTTCGCCATATCCTTGGCAACTAAATTTAGGAAATACACCTCTGTCACAGGCAGAATCTTCTAAACAAAAACTAGCCTTTAATCCTTCTGCTATGCGGTTACCATTCAAATCAGTGATGTCATAATGCGCAAATATTTCCATACTATGGTAATGCCTGTAAAATAACAAAATTAATACAGAAATTAATTCGAAAAATATTTATTAGATAGAAACTACGAGTAAAGTTCATCTCGATTTCTGTTGAATTTCGTGTTGCTCAATATTTTAGTGTTCTGCTTTGTGGAGCGTTGTTTGTCTTTTGTCTTTTCTCCTTTTGCCATGTTGTCGTCTGTCCAACATCTGGTGTTTGATTGCCACTTGGCATGTTCAGAAAAAGTATTTATAAATAAGATAATTGTCAACCCTATATACAAAGTTTAATACAAGTGTTCAAATATATACTTACATATGACATGCATGCCATTCCCAGTCACTACGACTACTTGCTGGTTTGAATTCTGCTGTTCCTTTATTTTTAACAATACTGGAAAATCGTAAAAGTCTTCTTGTGCTTGTTCTCCAACCTAAATCGTTAAAAGTTAATATTTTATGTATATTTTTTTCTGGTGACCAATGATTCTATCGTAGCTTGCGACAAGTTTTACAATTAAGGGTCTTTGTGAAAAGTTACATAATTTGCAGCTTTTTAACAACAGGAATCTTATTTCTATAGCGCACTTTTCATTCTCTAACTATATCCACTACTGATACTAAAAAAGTAAACCACAACAAAACGTATTGCAAATTAACCCCCACCCTTACTAAATAAAACCTGTATACATGGAAGTGGCTATAAACGTTACTCGATTGACGAGAAACCCCAAATAAAATTCGATAAATATAGAACATATAAATATAGAATATCAGTATCTTTACTATAATGATCATCAGGTTTATCGGGGGGTGGGGGTTGTGTGTGAGTGGGTGGGTTGTTTATTTTAATTTAAGATTTCCTAACGTTAATTGTTGATCGTATCTTTAAAGGAGGCAATGGATAGGGTTTGTTGAATAAAGGTTTAACGGACCCCAACAAAAAAAGCAAGAGTCGAGAAAATGGGCCAAAAAATTTTTTAAAAAAGAAGAGAAAACTGGGCTTTTAAAATATAAAAAATCGAGAAATATGGGCAAAACATGAATAAAGAAAAAATGTCTAAAATTTAGAATTCCAAAATTTTGAATCTCCCATCCAGACCCCAGAAATGTTAGTTTAGAAACAGAACCCGGCGCAAGGAATTGGTATCATATGTTTTAACCACTTTATAAGGAAGGAGTTGATTGATTGATTGATTGATTGATGAAATTCTGTCATTATTTGATTCATGACTCTTAAAATGTACATACGTGGACTATTTTTTTTAATTTCATATGCTGATTTAGCTAAACAATTTTCTTCCATAGCACATGTTAAATAATACAAGTGCCTGTCTTGAAGGAATGATGTTGTTTCTACCATATATGTACTTGGCTCCAGGTCTGGCAATTCTGTGAATGGTAAATAGAATAATTAAGTCAAAATTCACTTTCAAAAAAATGTTTATCTTTTTCTAATGAATATTCCTATTATATAGTTCCAACAAAAATTTTAACCAAATGTTGACCGAATATTAAATATAATCATTACTTTTCATTTTGTCCAAAATGAAACATTTTTACTAATGGTGTCTTCGCACTCTTCCAATATTTTGCAGTAGTTAAAAAAAAGTATGTACAAAGCGTCTGGATCATTAATTGACTTTAACTTATATATTTTGGTTCAGACATTTTGCGACAGTAAAATTACTTTGTGTTAAGAGTTTGCGTCTAATTTTGATATGTCTATTATTAGATGTTTTCGTTTCCATCATTTTCCAGAAGTAAAATTCATATGCTAAGCGTTAGCATCATTATTTTGATATGGGTATTATTATGTGTTTTTTTTGTATCATTTTTAACCTCATATAGCAATGACATTAAAAACTATAAAATACAAGCGCATTTTTAAATTACAAATTGTTTTCACAAATTTGATATCAAACTGCTTAAGCAATCTTGAATCAAATCAGGTCCAATTCGTGCTTCCAAACTAATGTTTTTCATTTTTCTTTTGGCAATGATTTCGTAGAACGCTCTTCGACTTATGAGTTTTGGTTGTCCCTTTGGTATCTCAGCCTCTTTTTTTAACAGTTGTAGTAAAAAAAACCTATTAAGGATGTGTTTAGGTGAGGTTTAGGAATTTTTGTCAAATGTTCGGACTCCTTTGTTTTTTTCCTACGATACAGGGTAACTTATTTTGCCCCATAACACCCATTTTTCTTTTCATATAAGACTTCAATAGCTCATAAATGGTCATTTACCAAAATTAAGCAGATTCTAGATTTCTTTTATTTCAATTTTAGACCCAAATGATACCAATGCAAATATAAGGTAAAAGTCCGAGTCAGCCTTTTCCCGCCATTTAAAAAAAAAATAATATCTCGAAAAAGAGCTCCATAACCTATCAATATTTTTAGCTTATTTTGTTCCTTAACTAATGCTCTTTTGACTTATAGTATCAAATCTAAATTCTTGATTTTTTTAATTTCACCTAAGTACATCCTTAATATGGTGTTGCATTGAAAGATCTAAAAAAAATAATAAAAGACCGTACAACTTCCGAGCAAACAAATCATCAAAGTAAAATTTTACTTTTAGAGCAAACAATAGCAGCTACAGCATCTGACCGGGAGCACTGAACCATGCCACTGTGTTCTTCCCAATTACAACGGTCTAAGGTCTTCTCTGATCCTTTGCATCTTACACGGGAATAATACTTCTTCTGATATTTCCCTCCAAATTGAGATGTCTGTAAACACAGAAATAAACGTTTAATTTCAATGCAGAATTGATTTTTCGCTGTTGGAGTTTAATTTGTATAATTTTCACGAAAGAAGTTTTGATCCATAGAAAATGATTGCCACATCAAATTTTTGAAAAATATAGATAGATACTTAGTTTGTGGTACAAACATTTTTCAAAACTAAATATGTTTTGTCTGGAAAAGGATGTCTTTGAAATCTTAGTACGAAATGTATTGGAAATAATGGACGGTTTATCTGTATGAAAAATGAAGTAGAAATTGAATTTGGAAAAAATCTCAAAAGAAAAATATTAGTTATTCCGAATTTGATTTTAAAATCATTATTTTAGTTAAAAATTACAAGAAATTATCAATTTCAGGAATTTAATGAACGATCAACGAGAAAAATTCACTTCATAGCGAAACCAGTTGGATTGCTGCTGAAACTCAAATAACCATCAATATTTTTTTCAAATTCAATTTATGTTCAATTTTGGCTTTTTATTAGCTCTGTTCACACTTTTCTCTATTGAGATTTTATTTCCTCTTTGTTTTTCTTGTGTAAGAACAATTATACCTTAGCGGCTTGCATTGCATAGCCTACTCCAAAATGTCTGCATGCTACCATTGCTTCCCTTATTGACCAGTGGTCACCACAGATAACACCCCATACATCTTGGTCTTGTGGTAATACTTCGATTCTTCCATCACTGTCGTGTCTGCCTCCTGATAACTTTACCTGTACTCTCTTAACAAAACGAATGTAAATCAATAACTAATACTGCGTATCAAATGTAAAAGTGTAAAACTTCAACATCTATCTATATATTCTAAAACTATTAGTAGAAAGAATGGTAGATATTGGAAAAGGGAAAGGGGACACTAATTACATAAGATACTTCTAAAACAGGTCATTTAAAAGCAAGCTAAAAGGTGCACGTAGGCCATAGGCGTCGACATTAGAGACTCTTTATATTCACTGATAAGACGAATTCTAACACGAAAATTTAAACAGGTTCATTGAATAAGAACATAGTTTACACACCCAAACGTAAGGGGCATTGTAACAATTGTCTGCCGGTACATGCAAGGACGTGTATCAATTCATGTAGTATCAATTGGTTCATTTGTAATGTAATGTAAGTCATGCATTCTGAATTATTTCAAAGGAACTGTAATTGATTACATAACTCATCAATTGTTACAAGACCGTATATCATGTTTCTTTCTACGCAGTTCTTTGTTGCATAGCAAGCAATCACCCCCCTAGTATACCAATATAGTCAGTAGTATGTTATATATTGTTACGATCTAAGCAATATGTACATTATATCATGGTTCACTGCAGACGGAAAACATGTAACATTCATTTCTGGTAATTGTATTGCGTAAATCCTGTCATAATGACGAGGTGCATATGTTCTTGTATCCGTTTGTTGCTCTAATAATATCTACTATCATTAAAATATCTACTGTAACTTTATAGATTAGTCTTTGTCAGCAGCGTTAACACAGAGAAAGAAAATTAAATGTATGCAATAGAAAAATCCAAATGGCTTTTTAAAAGTCGATATAACTATTTAAGGCCAAACATGCACGGAAGGATTTTGAGCCTAGATTCAATAAAAGTTATCAGCTTTATACTTTTATCAAATGTATGTTATAAATCCTTCAGATGTGGAACATGATCTGCTTACCCTTCCGGAGAAACTGAGACCACCCCGATATATGATGGAGTTGGTGTTGCTCAGTCTTTAGTGTCTACTTAGTGTTTTGTAGATTGTTGTTTGTTTTCATCGTTTTTCAGTTTTTTACCATGATTTTGTCTTCCTCTGTTCCGACTTCTGCCTCTTTCACATCCAGTAAGTTTATACTTATATCACCTTTCAGTGGCGGATCCAGAAATTGTCATAAGGGGGGGAGGGCACTGACTGCCTAAGAGGAGGCCCGCTCCAGTCATGCTTCAGTGATTCCCTAAATAATCAACCAAAAAAGGGGGGCCAGGGCCCCCTGGAAAACCCTCTAAATCCGCCACTGCCTTTTTTAAACATAGATACTGAATCTAGGTTAAATTTCTGATAAAATGAATTATCTTTAAGAGTTGTCTGCATTTTTGTTTCCAATGTAATGCTGCTACATTTAGCTTTAATATTGACAAGTTATAAATGCAAAGAGGGATATGGATACAAGCAATAAACTTTAAAACATGCAAAGAACCATGCTCATTTATAATTAACAAAAATATATTCCTATATGATTAAAGAGCAATTGATCTACACGGACGCGTTTCCATCATTTTTGTTGTTGTTGCCTTGGGAAAGTTTTTTTCGTTATATAATACCTTATGTCTGTTGTCAGCTCTGTTGCCATGCCCATGACGATGTGCATGAAAGCCGCTAGGAAGTCCAGTGTTTACAGAACTGGTTCCAATTCTCTCGTTTACGTTATTTCCTCGGTTTGTGTTACCACCTTCAGCTACATTTCCCATTGGCAAACTTTGACTGTTACCCAATGTTAATCTGCCATTTTGAACGGAAGGATCGTCATCTTGCGCCCTTGACCCCGAGTTGGACTGTCTACTCTGTTGACGATTAGGAGTTGTTGGTGTGGCCGATTCTCGCAAAATTTGCCTACGCATGTTGATGTATTCACCTCTGGTATACTTTGCTGGTCGTTCACCTGGTTTTGAAATCATGAATTTTCCATCTCTTAATTTCAACACCCATAATACAACCTCCCTGTCCAATACCCATGAGGCAACAGTTAAAGCTGGTAATCCATCAGCTCTATCGTTTACAGTGGATTGACGTGTAACACGTCCTTGTGTTGTTCGTATTACCGTTGTTGGTTTGGTTGTAGTCTTCAAAGTAGTTGTAGGGGTGGTTGTTGGTTTCGGGGTAGTAGTTGTTGTCGTTGTCGTCGGTTTTGTTGTTGTTGTAGTTTGTTTTTGTGTGGATGTTTTCTGCGTTGTTGGTAACGGAGATGTTTGCTAAGAAATGAAGACAACCATGCAGTTATAAAAAAATATGCTATAAATATATGATTGAGAATTGCCGGAATGGAAAGCTTAGAAAGCCAGGAACAGAGAGATACCGTTCATTGGTCATTATATAATTTCAGTTGAAAGTGAGATATCAAGTGCTTAATTTTAAGTATTATTATATATTTAAAATCTTCTGCTATCTTAAAAGTTTTATACTGATCCTCTTTTCAAATTTCTAGTAACGAGTCTATTTTTCAAATGCATAATTCAATACGTTTCAGGTGCAATGCATCGAAATGAATGGGTTTGAAGATATACAAAAGAACAGCTAAACTATATTTTATCCAATTCAAACGTTCATCCAGTGCTCTGTTACTATATACAGGCAAGCTTTGCATGCATGATAATAATGGGTAAAGCTTATCTACAAACTACATACATGCGACATGCACTGTTAAAGGATCATTCTTTCAAAACTATTTCAAATATCTCCGAAGTAATAAGTTTATATTGACATAACCTTTTTTATGTAGTGAAGTCTTTAATTTTAATTCCTGTGTTATGCAGTGGCCGATATATTTAGCACGTAGTTATGTTGAAAATATGTGACAACTACGTTTATCATGTGACCGTATTTTGACAAAATAAATTACCAAAGCTGTATTTGATGTGTAATTGGTGAAGAAAGTCAAACAGCCTAGGCCGCCATTAGCTTTGTGTCGCCAACTCAACAAATATTTCAGCCAATGAAAGTATGAATGAAAAGTTATCTGCAACTGCGTGCTTAGAATATTAAACTGTCGTGAAAGTGTGCTGTGAATGAAAAGGTCTTACAACAATACATGAACTTAAGTGCGTCAATTTATGTGTGCTTAAAGAATAAAAATACACATTCGTACCTTAATTGATTCTTAATTCTTATACAATAATTTTACATGATGATCAATGCATGAAAATTGCACCGAGATAAAACAATATTTATATATTAGATTGTACGAGAAGCCATGCGCACCTCTTTCCAGATGGTTTGGACCCTTATGTTAAATAAAATGTTAAAAAACCGCAATCAATTGGATGCAGATTCCAAAAAATCTGTTCTTATTTTTTTATGCTTGAAACCCAAATATTGGAAATCCGGATGTATTAGAATGTATGAAATGGGGATGCCAAAACTGAGGACCTTCTGAGCATATCCGGATGATAACTAATTTTTTTTTTAAACTGTATAAAATCTTTTTCATAAATACCATCGCGACTTACTATAAGTCTGATAAATTAAAGTTTTAATTCATGTTAAAATGCAGTTACAGCTATTTCAATGTAAAACATACCTCTACATTAAATGATCTATTGTCCAAATCGTCTTCGCTTACTTTCTCTGTCAACATATCTTGAACTTCTTCATCAACATCATTTTTGTCATTGTCTTCAGATTTAATGAGAATATTTTGAGATGAGTCGCTATTTTCACCTTCTGTGTCTTCTAAGACTATTCCAGGATCGTCTGCTTTCATACGTTCCCTTCTTTGGTCTTCTTCCGTCGTTTCGTCATCCTGGATTTCGTCTGCAACAGAGACAAAGGGAGTTGTCACCGTCGGTGGTTTCATTATTTCGTGTCTTATATGGATATACTCATCTTCAGTAATCGTCCTTGTAGAATCTCCTGGTTTAGCAATCAAGTAACCACCTCTTCTCAAAGGCATTACCCACATTTTAATATCTTTATCCATTGACCAAGTCCCTATTCGCAATCTACGAGGCAATCGGGCTGCTTCGTAAAATATTGTGGTTGATCTTTTAGTTGTCGTAGGCTTTGGTGTGGTCGTTGTTGATGGTGTCGTCGTCGTTGTTGTTGGTGTCGTCGTCGTTGTAGGTGTCGTCATAGTCGTTGTGGGTTTAGTTGTGGTTGTTGTTGGTTTTACAGTTGTTGTAGACGGTTTAGTTGTTGTTTGTTTTTTCGTCGTAGTGGTTGTTGGAGATGTTGTTTTTCTTGTCGTCGGTTTATGTGTTGTAGTTTTTGTTGTCACTCTTTCGATTGATGATTCCTCAATTTGGTCTGATACTTGTGTTCGTCGGTCAATGGGTACATTATTGCCCTCATGTCCTAAATCTGATACTTGTGTTCGTCGGTCAATAGGTACATTATCGGCCTCATCTCCTAGAAGCACATTGTGCGATGGCGAATTAACAACTTCAACCCTGTCACTGTTTTGAACAATTGCACTTTCAATTACGTTTCCATCAATATTCGATGTTGGCGGTAACGTCGTTGGGGCAGGTGTTGGAATTCTCAAACAGACAGCACCTGCTGAATGTCTATGCCCTCCACATGAGTTCCGATGACGGCGATAAAATATTCCCCATCCAGGATTCCAACATGCTGAAATATTTGGTTCAGATCCTCGGCAGTACACGTCAGCAAGCCATACTCTTCCTAAAACAAAGTGATGATTTGTGTCAAGTTTTACGTAATGGCTTATATTTAAACATTTGACATATTAGAATAATATGATAGCAGACTTTGTCTTTCATTGCATATGCTTATAATAATGTCTTTGAATTTAAAGAAAGGAATAAAAGCATGTGCAACAGTGATTAACATTAATTAAAATTTTATGATGAAGGTTTCCCGGGACTAAAATGTTTTAATACTTTGTAAATAAAATAAATCTTGAGCTCGGTGGTTGGGTTGGTTGGGTTGGAGGATGGATCTATAGTCACAAGGTGAAAAATCACCAGAATATGGTGTATTGATTTAAAACAATTTATTTTAACTTTATTAGATTTACTAGCGTTAATTAATGTATAGTTACTGTGTTTGTGGATTAATTGCTTTGTTTTAATGTATATAAGTTATTGATTATAAACATATTATTTGTGGCAAGTTATTAAAGTTGAGGAATCATATAAATCTACTGCATACAATATTGTTTACGTCTTTAATTGCTTTGTCAAAGATCAAAGAATTTCGATTTTACCATTTTTTTCTCAACTCACAAAAAGAAAAAAAAAACAGTCTAAAAAGCTGCAAGCTAACAAAACAAATGTACAACGCTCAATCGCTCCGTAATAATGTCTCAGGAGAAGTTATCAGTGACGCCACAATATGTGAGTAGACGTTATCAAGCTCACTTTCGTCAAGTATAAAACGGTCTAAATGAGGGGAAAAGAACAGTAATAGAACGATAAACAGATTATCGGGGTTTTCTATGTATAGATATCGTAAAATATCAGCGCTCACTAGCCAAATATATTCACATTGTTGCTGGCATCTGATATTTTACGATATCAATGGATAGAATTAGAAAACCCGATAATTAATACGTACATGCACTGAAATTGATATTTTCACTTGATATGTGCATATTCTTTTGAATTATGACGATACGGTCAAAAATTTTCAGACCACCCACTTATTCCATGATTTGCACATGTCTTTATAATGATTATTATATTGATACAGATCAAACGATTTTAGTATTTTGTCAATGACATTGTTGTTAATCTTTGAACTTCATATCATAATGCATTCATTGTTGCATAAAGTGACATATAGAGACGTCTTTAAATATTTATAAAAGTGTGTTAAGTGGATAATAGCTTATATAAAATCAAATGAAAAATTCTATGTAAATTTCTCATTTACTCTATGTTGGGACCAATGTTCCTGCTCAATGTTGCACTTGTGAGAAAAGTAAAAACTGTTTTCTCTTCCCGCAAATTTAAAAGTATCATATACTCGTTCTGTAAGCATTTTGAATATCTTATTAGCACATTAGCCAAAGTTTTAAAAAAACGTTTTGATACGATTATAAAATGGCATGTTGCTAATTTACAGAAATCAGAGACATATATACTTGAATATATATGTCTTTGCATAGATGAAGTTGCAACCGTCTGGATTTCAGAGATAAGAAAACAATTTCTCTTGTTACTGGACAGCAATTACGTATATTTATAAATTAATTGTCAACACTCTTGTTACTGGACATCAATTTCGTATATGTATATATTAATTGTAAACTCCTTGATAGTTTTTTTAAATCTTATAAATATCAGTTTGCAGTTTCATTAGTCAAAGACGCAAAGTTGATCTTAGATGGATTATGCCATTTTCTAGGTCCTTTTGGTTATATGTTCTTTAATTGTTTCGGTTTTTATACATCCTTGGCTTTCAAATATTCGGCTTTAAACGTTCCTGATGAAGGTAAATCGCTTCGGACGCATGAAATTTATAACGTGTGGTTTTCATTTTTTTTTTGGGGGGGGGGGGGGGGAGGAAGGGGTATTCTTTGTACGCCCTATCTGTTGATATGTTGATATGTTAATTTGTAAACTTAATGTATGCCATCAACCCCATTGGGTTATAACTGTGCATTAATTTGAATAAAGTTATTAAGCAAATTAAGTTTGTCAAATCAAAATTCAAATTTAATTGCACAAATAACGCCAAATAAAGGTACAATGTCATGTGCATATAAACCCCTGGTGTTACTACTGAAAATTGTGGCGTTTCTAAATCAAAATGAACGTTTTAAATGACGTTTAAATGACCGCATTATAATTCGGCTATGAACTAATCTGAACAATAAATGCATTATAATTCGGCTATGAACTAATCTGAACAATAAATGCATTATAATTCGGCTATGAACTAATCTGAACAATAAATGCATTATAATTCGGCTATGAACTAATCTGAACAAATTCTGTTTTAAAAACATGTGTTTTACATATATTTTCAGAGGGAAACAAGTTATGGAGAAGATCGGTAGAATACATTTAGTAAATAAAATGTTAATTTCAGTTGTAAAAACAATAGGGAATAGGTCTTTTGGTTTAAAAAAAAGTTTTTCAGATTTTTTACTTGTATTTTGTAAAGGAATCGACCTTCATTTTTCCTTATTCTGTATACATTTTGATTTTTATTCACACACAAAGACAAACTTTAAGATAACTTTTATTTAATTTGTAAGTCGATAAGTTTCAGCAAAATTTTAAATTGTAAAATGTTTTCAATTAATTTTAAACAGGTACTTGTGCAATACCATTAAGAAGACACCAAATGATCTACTCAAAATTGTTTTTATCATTCATGTAAAAGATTATATCCTTATATGTTAGAATCCTATAGCTTGAACTGTAAATAGATTTATTTGAAAATGAATCTTAATGTATAAAAGCTCCGCGATTCATTGTTTACAAGTGTTTATCTTTTTATGAAAGACCAAACAGTTGAAGATTTGTATTATTTCAATATATTAGGACAAATAACATCTCAAGGGAGTCAGAAACTATCTTCAATATATGTTTACAAATCTTAAAGGATTCTTAAACAGGTGTTGATAGTGAGAATCTACTTGACGTTAAATTAAACTGTTTGAGGTTAACCGCGATTATGTGACTCGATACAAAATTGTTCAATGAATTGTCCTTTAAAATGTTTTGTTTCCGAACTCTAGCATTATAAATGCGTTTTCCTCCAATGATGTACATCAAGTAACTAGGATCTGTGAAATGTACCGACCGGGGTAATTGGAGGTAAAATTAGACTGCCACTGGAAAAGAGTGTATGTTTGATAAGGACAAACAGTTAGCTTTACAACATATCGTATAAATCTTTCAGATGGGTTGATGATTTTTTTCATCGTGCACCCTCCCGACACGAAAGCTGGCCTGGCGTGGCTGCGTATTTATACATCCCCAAGAGCCAAACGGACGCCTCCTTAGCATGAACCATGCTTTCATATCAGTTATGTAACAGGGCTAATTTAAATCCAAAAAGTTCATTAGTTTCTATGAAAATAACGAATCAATTACTTTTAGTCTCTGGTGTTTAGTAAGAAGCGAGAACTGTAGGTTCTTCTTTTAATATTGATTGAGAGGTGCGAATGCTTCATATATTGCAGTATCAGACTATCAACATAACATTAAATCCGAAATTTTCGATGCTTTCTTCCGAATAAGAAAATTATCACGTACAGAATTTATATTTGCCTTTGATGCAATTCATATTATCAAAAACATGCAAGCAAACCGATCAAAAATAACTAAAAAAACATCAGTGAGAGACAGGTTTATGTTATCGAAATTCTTCAAATCCTTGGCATCCATCAAGGTTGAGTATCGTAAACTTCGAATAAATGCAAAATCAACAAAACTAATCAAAGAATAGTCACTCATTGCTTTTAGACTAGACAGATATAGGAATTATATAACATGGATGTTTATGAAATTAACATGCTCCTGAACAGATATGTTTAATACTTTCGCCAGATTTTCATTAAGTTTAATCAATTAACGAAAAATGAAAATGTTAAAAGTCTCAGCTTTTTGTTTAAGTGTTACGCAATGTATGGTGTGCGTTTTATCATCAGAGAATTATAGGCAATCATTACAAATTAAGAGAAAAAAATTAACAAGATCTTTAACATCACACAGTTTCAAGTTTCAACCGCCCTGTACTCAATGTTTGTCTCACACAATGCATTGTGAGAATTTGTAATTTCGATTACAACTACTGTTTAAAATATTGCATGAAGAGGTTTTTGCTGCTCTATTGGCGCCCTTTTGGTTTTGTTGGTTTTTGTTTTTTTTTTATTAACAGAGGTTTTGATCTTACTTACGATTACAGAACTTTGTCGAGCATTTTGAGCCTTTTATATCACTTAGGTCTATGTATTGTCAAGCAAGTTATGGATACAACGGTTGAATATGTATTTTCATTTCAATTTGATATCAGGTATCCGTTTATAACTTATCCGATTATATATTAGGATGTCAGTAAAAATTGAAAAACGACCAAAAGACAAAGAATAGTTTACAAAACACAACATAGAAAACTAAAGACATAGAAACACGAACCCAATCAAAAACTAGGAGTGATCTCAGGTGCTCCACATCCATCGTGTTGCTCATTGAAGTACAAACTCGGTGATAAGACTTATTCGGCGATTCACATACAAGGAAAAGAAGACGGGATCATGGCTAAAACAATTAGAACATATCCGTCGCCATCTGTTTAACAGATATTTCATAACGGTAAACCAACTCATGATTGCGTCCGTAACTTTTACGAAGGAATGACTTCAATTTCACCACTTCCAACCCTTCATGCCTTAGTTTAATGGTTTCCTTGTAAGCAACAACCCTCCATTGGGAAATCATGATTAAAGATGCAAGCTCTGGAATATTGTATCAATTGGGAGATATATACTCCATAAACATTAGCAGGCGCTGCTGGAATGTTGCTACATAGAAATGGAAAGTTCAGAATTGGGAATCCGAAATCATCTCTTTTGTTGTAAAGTTTTGTTTTCAACCGACCTTAAATACCAACTATTCCAAACCAGGCTTACCATCACTAGATGTCTTTGGGTTTTTATTTTTTGTTTTTTGTTGTTGGGTTTTTGTGGTTTTAGGTTGTTGTCTCCT